GATGGAAAACAGAAACTAGGTGTGGTAGTACATGCCTATAATCCTAGCCACTCAGGAGGCTAGGAGGATCTTAAATTTCAGGCAATCTCAGCAATTTAGGGAGACATAGTTTCAAAATAAAAAATTAGAAAGGGTTGGATATGTAGCTCTGTGGTAGAACACCCCTGGGTTCAATCCCTATATCAAAAAAAAAAAAAAAAAAGAAAGCAAGGAAAGATCAATGGGATTTCGTGATTAAGCAAACTTCTTATTGACCAAGTAGAATTAAGTCTTGGGGAGTGCTGAGGATGCATTCTGAAGTAGATTGCTTGCCTAGAAGTAAGATTTGGGACTTAACACAAATATTCAAGTTAAGTCCTTTAACATAATTTAGATATTTGATGGGATTGAGAGGGATTGTACATAAGGTTAAGTGTTGACACTGGGAGAGACCAGAAGTCATGGTGAGAAGGGAATAAAATGATCCTTAACTTAAAAGAATTTAAAATCGTGGAAGTGTTAGACTTTTGTGGGATCAAATTTGGCCTAAATGGAATCAAAGAGGAGTAAAAGACCAAGTGGTAATTTGCCACAACCCAGCTGGGCACAGAAACACGAACCGCTCAAGCGGGAAACAAAGCTTTACTTAAAAAAGCCGCAAGCGACCCGTGTGCCCTGCTAGCAAGCCGGTAGACCCACGTGTGTCACTGGAATGGGGCACCGGACCTCCCCCCCCCCAAGTTCCCTCCTACTATCCTTCCCCAACCAATGGGAACTCTCCCATTACATGAGTGACATGAGTAACCTGAGTCCCGTAACAGGCCCAGGTGAACAGCAGGAGTCCAATTTTCATATGAATGTAAAGCTTAACATAATCATATCATCTCAATGGCTAGCTGGCAGTCACCTAAACCAAAGGTACCATGTATCATAATACTTTTGCTGTGGCTCCTAGCAGTAATTAAAATGAAAAACAAAAATTAGAATCAGGGATTGATGACATAGCACAAAAGGATCTAGAAAGCATGCTTGCAAATTKAAATAAAGACTCAAGGCCGTTCCTATTCTGATAGAAGTCCTTGGAGTCAGTCACCCGGTTATTGTTCTGATGAATTGAGTAGTGAACTGAGTCATTCAAAAAATATTTATTGCTAAATGCAGTAGCATGCTCTATAATCCCCACTACTCAGGATTGGGTAAATCACTTGATCCCACAAATTGGAGAGTAGCCTGTCCTGTGCAACATAGCAAGACCCCATATGCCAGTATTTTAGGTGTTTGAAATCTATTTGAGTTCTATATATGTCAGTACCAATTAGTAATATTAAAATATAACTTCTTTTATACATGGTAGTATAAAAGTAGTCTTATACTTTTTAAATTATGTTCAAACTATGAACTCTTTAAGGTCAGGGATTATGTCTTATTCATTTTTGTATGCTGSTATCCTTGTATGCTTGTATTCTGGTAGATTTTACTTGGAATTACCATGTTTTTTAAGAAGGTAGTAGTAAACAGTACTAAAATTATAAATAGTGTTACAGAGCCTTTTAAAGAAAAGCATACTTTTTATATCACAGATGGTGATTCTTGCTGTAAAGGCACTGTGTAATGAAACTGAAAAAGAAAAGTCTTTTACTTCTGTAGTATGATGATTTCCATATATAATAGAGGAAGTCTCTTGTGTGGATAGTTCTGATAATGCATGGGATTACTATGATCATTATAATGTAGTATTCTTGTTTCTTTTTTGTTTGTTTGCTCTATTTTGCAGTGCAGGGGATCAAGCCCAGGGCCTTGCACATGTTGCACAAGAGCTCTACCACTGAGATTTATCATCCCAATATTCTTTACTAAATGCAAAAGTAAATCTTTTCTCATTAACAAGGAATAGTCCCTCGGTGGTCAGCTGTCACATGGGTGCTTTACCTGCTTCAATTATTTTAGCCAAGAATGTTAGCAGAATAAGAAAGTAGAGTAAACCTTGATTTGTACTCCCATCTCAGCAGTGTTGCCAGGCATAAATGTAATTGTATATACAGTTCTATTTGTGTTTTTTGTTTGACTCTGGTGAATAAAACCCATATTTTGTTGAAATTTTGTGCTCAATTGCATCCAGATACCACTTATTTATTTCCTTATTTGGTGCAGGGGATTAAATCCAAGCACCCACTTTGCCACTGAGTTACACCCCTAACCCTTAAATCACTTTTTTAGAATCAGTTTTCAATCCTTGATAATTTCAGTTTTTCTGATTTTTTATAATATTTTGTGTAGTTTTGGTAGTTTAACCCCCACAAATTTCTTTGTATTAAATAATGGTTACATACATACAATTGACAAAGATAACTGTAGAGTTATTACTTGATAAAATAGAAATTATAAATGGCTATAAAATTTCCAAAGCTGGAATGTTCTACTTGCTTATGAGGAACATTGATAAAGAAGAAAATGTAATAGGAAAATTTAATTAATTCTAGTATGTTTATAAATAAAACACTTGACTAAGCACATTTGAGTCAGGAAGTTGAAATGATTGGTGAGAACCAGAGATTTTACACATAATCCAAAATGAAAAGAAATTGGTTCTTAAATTTACAAGCTCACTTCTTAGAGAAACTAGCTGGGTGTCTGAGAATTTGCCAAAATAACCACAATAAACAAACAGGCCAACAAAAAGACTGGGTTTTATGTCACTAGTCTTAAAGTTAGTAATGTGTGGGAAATCATTTTTACAGTAGCATCCTCTATTTAAACTCAGCTTCAGTGCTAATGTAGTCTAGAACTTTTGATAACACCAAAAAGTAGGAAAAAGTCTGTCCTTCTGTCCCTCCTTCCTGCCTTCTTTTTAATTCATCAATTTTCTTTTTAGGCTTTGAAACGACAAAAACAAGATTGGCCTTCTTAGAAAAGTCACCCAAGCCTGTGCCTTGTTCATACAGTTTTTTTTTTCTGTGGGCCTTCCTTAGAAAGACACTTCAAGGATTTTCCCTGTGATATCTAGTTACTGCTTCATTGTAATCGAAGCACTACACTGAATCAGAACTTTTCCTTATAGGCTAATACAAACCATACTTAATTTATTAAGGTTTAATTTATTAAAACCTTTGTTAAAGTTGTTTAAATCTTTCGGTCTGGGGATGCAACTTCAGTGGAAAAATGCTTTCCTAGCACACTTGAAGCCCTGGGTTCAATCCCCAGCACTGAAAATAAATAGATTTTTAAAAGTCATTTAAATCCTTCTATTTCAACAGTGCAGTGCTTCAGTAAAGAATATAAATATAAGATGTAGCTCAATTCACAATAGCTAAACYATGGAAACTACTTAGGTACCCTTCAACAGATGAATAGATTAAGAAATTGTGCCATATATATACTCAGCTGTAAAGAAGAATGAAATTATGGCATTTGCCAGTAAATGGATGGAGCTGGAGAATTTCATGCTAAGTAAAACAAGACAATCCCAAAAAACTAAAAGCCAAATGTTTTTCCTGATATGTGGATGCTAAGTGGGTGGATGGGGGGTTGGTGGCTAGGGGAGAATAGAGTTTCTTTAGGTAGAGGGGAGTGAAGCCAGGAGGGAAGAAGGGATGGGGGTAGAAAGGACAGCAGAATGAATCAGACATTGTTACCATATGTAAATATATAACTATATGACCCTATATGACTGGTGGGATTCTACATCATGTACAACCAGAAGAATGAGATATTATACTCATATACATATATATATATATATATATATATATATTAGATAGATAGATATAGATATATATCAAAGTGCATTCTACTGTCATGTATAACTAATTAAAGCAAAAATTTTTTTTAAAAAAGAATATAAGATGTATATTAGTCTGTGTGGGTCCATGCTGACATTTTTTTTAGGACTGTCCTTTGGTTTTCAGGGAGCAAAAAAAGCAAAGAAGAGAGACTTGGTTGACAATTAAATGATAACAAAAAGTATATTTATTTTTAACTTTTTATTTACTTAAAACATATTGTTGCAATGCACAAAGAGGTCTCATAATCAGGAAATAATAAGGGAGCCTTATTTGATTTTAGCACAGATCATAATAGCACTTTTCCCAAAATGAATTTGTAAGATACCATATGGGTTTCTATTATTTTTGTTTTCATAGTAGGAAGTCAGAAAACCTTAATTACTTCCTGAAAGTAAAAGGAAGATTTCCAAATGTTAAAAAGATTTTCTGCCAAATCTCTACAAATATAAAAAATAAATTGTGGTTTTGATCATATGACACTGGTCTTATGATACTTAACATTAGATTCTCTTCAGAGTAAAGGTAGAGATTAAATAATCACACTCTGTTGAGTTGAATATTTTATTACTATCAGAAAGTTTAAAATGATTTATATATTGATGAGCATCTCTGAAACCATTTGGAAAAATCTTAGTAAGTTTATTCATTAACTCCTTATGTTGTCTTGTGCATGGTTTTATTAGGCTATAATGTACTACTTTTTGGGTATCCAGATGCTCTTCTTACTCAAAAGGTAATATATAGAGAACAGAGCTTCAGTTCTGGCACATGGAAACTGGAATTTTTTGGCCTATAATATATATAATAATTTGAGTTATGACAGTAATATTTTGAGCCTATTGTGTTGGTTTTCAAAACTTAACAGGTAGTTTTTGTTTTCCTTTTTATGTGGAAAAATTTTGATATTATATAAATGTACATGTATTAACAGAAAATTGGCCTTACTTTCTTAGGTCAAACAACTTTAATTAAGGAAAAATATTTACTTAAAACATTGGTTCTCAAATCTCATATTCAAAGTAAAAAGGTTATACCATTCACTTTTAATTTTTAAAGTACTCTCATGTTTCTAGGAACATCTTATGCTGTTGGCCTCAAAGAATAGAAATATAGAACAAAATGTAAAATAAAAACTTAGCAAATAATAAATTATTATAAATTTTAAATATGAACGCTGAAATCAGATAAATCTCATCTGTTTTTATAGTACAACTTTAAGTGTGTTTTTTTCCCTCCCAGGACATTTATTCAGAGCAGCTGGGGATCAACCGTTTAACCTGTCCACAGTGTCGAGTGCCTTCCCAATGGTCAGCCACCCAGTCTTTGGTCTACATTCAGCCAGCTCAGGGCATTCAGAATTTGGTGGTTTGGGGACACTTGGTACACCCACAGCCTTAGCCGCACATCCCCAACTAGCATCTTTTCCAGGTAAACATCTGTTACAAACAGTGTTCAAGGAAAGGAGGAATGCTTGAAAATGTTCAAGCAGTAATTTGTTTATGAAATTTAACAAAAAAAAATAGTCTAATGCCTGGTATATTAAAACTTTTATGCAAAAATTGGCTCAGTCTTATTTGTAATGTACCAAAAAAAAGAAACAAAAAAACCTGTGCGTATTGGGTGGCCTAGGAGTTAATTAGGTGCTCAGGTGTTTGATGAGATACATAGGCATTTGCCATAGAAAGGAATCATTAAACCAGGGTTTTCTGATGCATGTTATTGAGATATAGTATGCAGAAAAATATACATATATTATAAGTGTAAAATTTAAATATTCTCAGCTTTATTTGGTTTTTCAAAAAAATTACTTACAGTGTAAAACTAAAGTCCAGTTCTTATAATGAACAGTTTTATGCTTTTCTTTTAGATTCTTAATTCTCTTCACTTTGTAATCAAGATGAGATTAACTCTTAAATTTCTATATTTTTCCATATTTTATCAAAACAACTATAGAGTTACACTACTTTCAAGACAAGGGGACCATTAGCTAAGGCTTAACGTGGATGAATGTATTTTAATTTATTTTGTATCCTGAAAAATCTAAACTTGAATGTATTTTCCAGTATTAATTTTACTTCAATAAATTTTTTCAAGCARTGCATGCTTTAATGTATGTAAAATTGTTTAAAACATTAGAGTTTGATTGTGGAGAAAAGTAGACCTGAATTTAAATCTGAATTTGCTGCTTAGTAGTTGTGTGCATTTGAACAAGTTATCTGAGCTCTCAGCCTTTGTTCTCCTACTTGAAAAATGAGAGTAATTATAATAACTGCCTTATATGGTTCTTTGAAGATTAAAGGAAATGAGCATGTTCAGTGCTGTATCTGTGTCTGGCAAACATAATTAGTGAATAATTGGTAACTATCATTGTTTTCTCTTTCTCACTTTAATGATTAGTAAATTTTCAAATGAGCCAGGTGTGGTGATTTATTTATCCTTTAATCCAGCTACTTGGAAGGCTGAGGCAGAAGAATCTCAAGTTTCAAGCCAGCCTGGATAGCTTAGCAGGAACTTATCTCAAAGTAAAATTTAAAAAAGAGCTGGGGATGTAGTGCATGTTGAGCATTTGCCTAGCTTGTGTGAGGTCCGGGATTAGTCCCTGATCCCTATTTATATTATTATGAAAATAAACAAATAAATTATGCTTCTTTAAAAGGAACAAAGTATCTTTTTTAAACTATGTAGAAAGGATAGATGCTTAAATGTATAAGTACTATTTATTGAGTCATATTTATTTAATTCAGTGTTTGCAAGAGAGGGGATGATGGGGAGGAATAAAATAATTAGGCAAAATCTTTATGTCTTAACATTTCCTTTTAATAATATTAATAGGAGCTTATTTCATTCCATTTTTAATATGGTTGCTTAGCAGGATAAGCATTCAACAGATATTCGTAAAATATGAGATTGCTGAATAAAAGTCAAAATAAGATAATAATAATTTAGATAGTTACTGGTATCTGATATTTTTATTGTTTTATCAGTTTATTATAGTACTGCTTTTGAACATTTCTAAGCCACAGTGTAATGACTATATTATTAAAATCAAATAACTTCTGCAGTAGAATGATGGTTGACAAGTACAAAAAGTCACTCATCTGAACTTCATTCATAATAAGACACTTTCACTTTAAAAAAAAGTATTTAAAAACTTCCCCACCCTACATAAACTATTTATTCATTCATCTATTATGTTCTGTGTACTAGCCCAGTTACTTGGAGGAATAGACCAGTATATTTTATGTTTCTAACAGTTTTTAGAGAATGAATAAACAGTCAATTACAAGACAGAGTCTTTGGTGATAAAAGTATGCGTATATGAGAATATTTCTTTGGCAAAGGGGCATAGGTTATGCTTGGTTTTAGAGGACTCGTTTTGGTTAAGTTGCAGATTTGGTGTGATAACTAATTATGAACTCTGTATAATTAGCTTTATTCAGAAGGGTAACCAAATTGCCAAATTTTTTAAATAACCCCATAAGCAAATGAAAGAGAAGACATTACTAGGAATTTTAAGTGAAAAATAATTTGCTTTTAAATTTTATGAACTTCTAAAGCATTCTTCATTTCAGATCAGATCTGCAAATGCAAAATTATTTAATGAATATTAGTATAATAAAATTATTTTCATTTTTTAGTGAAATTGTATTTCATGATACTTTCTTTTAAATATTTAAAATTTTGGGTCATTATATTTTAATGTTATAATACCATGAATTTTTGTGAAATATCTGTCTCTTTCAAGTATGGTTTTAAAAAAATTCTATTACACCTTCTATTTTCAAATTGAGATTTAGTATATTCTCTGAAATATAATATTTTACTTGAAAAATATTGACATTGATATTATGCTGTTACCTCTTCTGAATATTCTTAGAAATTCATCACATGCTGATTTATGTGATCCTTATTTTGTATTTTTCATTTTACCAACAAGTTACTTTGTGAGTAAAGTTTGTAAATTTTCTTAAATTTGGAAGATAAATAAATTTGTCACGTGAGAAAATTACATTACTTTCTATGAAGTAGTATCAGACATTTGTAAAGTTTATATTCAGAAGTTCTACGGTTTTATTTTTATATAATTGATCTTATTTGCTTGTTTTGTATTTTCCTCTCTGGTGTCTGATTATTTATAATACACATTTTCCTATTATTTTCTCTAATCTCTTCTGTGTACTTATTTACCATTGACATTCTGAAGTAAATTTTAATGTTTCTTCTGAGTTTGATTATGTCTAAAATATTTAAGGCTTATTATTATACTTTTATTATTATTATTAGTTGTTTATGAAACCTATCCATTCAACTTTTAGATTTACAACTACAAACTGTGTTAAGTGATATGACTTTTTGGAGGAAACCTCAGTCCCTTTTCATCAGCTAGGTAGAACCTAGTTTTCAAACCTATAAATGACAATATTGACTGTTGATACAAGCCCCAAATATACATCTTTTCTTCCTATCTAAATGTACTTCTTTTTTTAAACAATAGGTGAATAGTTAATGTTTTTGTTACATCATTTGGGCATCGTTGAATATACATGAATGTCATTTCACTAGCAACACTTTCCTGGGGAATAGTGTTTGCAGTTTTCTACTCATACTGTTTTTTAGACCTCTTTCACTTAAAAAAAAAAAACAAAAAAAAAAACAAAAAACAGAGTTCCACATTAGATAATAAAGGTGCATATCACTAAAGTATGTGTTTTTTTAAATGTTTTTTTAGTTGTCAGTGGACCTTTATTTTATTTATTTATATGTGGTGCTGAGGATCAAACCCAGTGACTCACAAGTTAGGCAAGTGTCTTGCCACTAAGCTATAGTTCCTGCCCAAGTATTGTATTTTCAATGAAGGAATATTTCTAGGATAATTTTTAAAATCATATAATAAAATACACTGACAATTTTGAGTTCTACCTGCACTATACTGTGGGGTTTTTCCCTCTAATTTTCTTGTGGGTATAACAAAGAAGAATATAATCTATCTTTTAAGATTGGCCTGGGAGCTAGGGTTGTGGCTCAGCTGTAGAGCACTCGCCTAGCACGTATGAGGCCCTGGGTTCGATCCTCATCACCACATTAAAAAATAAATAAAATAAAGGTACTGTGTCCAAATACAACTAAAAAAAAAAAAAAGATTGGCCTGCAAGATAACAACTGAATTTATAAATCTAGTGCTTTAGTCAGGAGAATATTTTTTTCCAAGATTTTATATGGAACAATCCAGTACTCTCCTTTGGATGATTTTTTTCAAATCTCTTCTTAATTTCACCCTTCCTTGAAAAACGTATTTAATAAAATTTGGCTTCTTTCCTTTCTAAAAGTTTTAACTAGAAGTTATAGTTTGAATATCTATATTGATATTTATTTATTGGATATCTATATCGATTATATAACTATGATTTTCTAACGTTTATTTTATATTGGTAAAATAATCCTTGACATCTGTAATTTATGAGAAGTATAAACAAATATCAAGCTTTCTTCATTAATTTTAAGGGGAAGCTTTATAAATCTTTTATTTTAATGCAAAGGTTTTAATTTTTTAAATCTTCTTTGAGAAGTTATTTCTTTTAAAAAAAAAAAGAGATAAGTGTCACTGTAGAATGGGTAGAGACTAGTGATGGGGGGGGATAGAGAGGGCGGCAGAATACAACTGACACTAGGATTGCTGTATGTATACACATGGATGTATAACCAATGTGATCCTGCAATCTGTACATGTGGAAAAATGAGAATTCATACCCTAGTTGAGTCAAATGTATGTCAAGATCATTGTATTGTCTTGAGCAACTAATAAAAAAATTAAATGTCCAAAAAAATATTTAAACTTTAAATAAATTGTTTTAAAGGAAATACAAAAAAAAAGAGAAGTTATTTCTTAGGCAAAAGAAAGGGCTTATTAATTTTACTATATTTATACTTTTGTTTGACTATAGAATGTTTTCTTAAGGTTTTCATAAATGCATTTGAGATATATTCTGGATTACAGTGGTCTGGTATATTATTTATATATAAATTAGACCACCTAATTTATCAGAGCCATTATTGTAAGTAATTTGAGAAAATTCTTARCATAGATTGTATAAGCTTAAATTCCAAGATTTTAAAATAGATTAATATAGACTTAAATATTTTCTTTACTAATTTAGAAGTAGTATAAATCTTCAAAAAGTCAAATTATTTCAATTTTATTTTCAAAGCTGTGTAATACCCTACTTTTTGCCTTGAATCTAAACAACTACTACATGAAGAGATCATTGAATACGGGTCTAATGAGAAGAGTGATAAGTGTAAAGTTCTAATTAGCCATTTACAGTCAGATGATCAGAACTATGTGTATTGAGAAATTCTGTTGCAAGGAGAAACTTGAATTTTTTTTCCAAGAATAAAACRTAGAAAGCAGTCATTACATTAGCTAGAAAGTTAATTCAAATATTTTTGTTTGGTTTGTTTGGTTTTGAGGTGCAGAATGGTGGCGAACAACAGATGTTCATACTCGTACAGGAACACCCTTCTTTCCACCAATACTGGGAATTCCACCACTGTTTGCTCCTCCAGCCCAGAATCATGATTCTTCATTCCATTCAAGAACTTCAGGAAAAAGTAATCGAAATGGTCCTGAAAAAGGTACCCATATTAATATAAGTGAAGTGTACTATAAATCTTCCATTCTAGTACCTATTTTCAGTAGAGTTCAGATTCAATAACATTCTTATAGCATTGCTCTAGATGGTTTTCCATTGTCTTGCTTAATCCTTGCAATAATTTTTTGACATTAATTGTCCTCATTTTGCAACCAAGTTTAAACAGTTGTTCAAGAAAGTACTGCTTACATATTGATATAGTTAAGTCAGAATTTGAACCCATTTCACTACTTTTTCCTCTGTATCCTATTGCCTTCCTACATGCATCCAATATAATGTGATACTTCTGCAGTTAAGCAGTAATTATAGGAAAACTTATATCCTAGTACTCTATTTTCCTCCTAAAGATTTTAGCTGGGCCTGATGGCAGACACCTGTAATCCCAGCAGCTTAGGCGGCTAAGGCAGGAGAATCTCAAGTTTGAGGCCAGCCTTAGCATCTTAGTGAGGCACTAAGCAACTTGGTTAGACCCTGTCTAAAAATAAAAATTTAAGAAAGGGCTGGGGATGTGGCTTAGTAGATAAGTATCCCTGGGTTCAATTGCTAGTATTTGCTATTATTCCTCCCCCCMCMCACACAAAAATGTATATAAAAGCATTTTAGATGACTTGTTATCAAGTGTTTAGGGAGTTTGCTCTAAAATGGAAATATTTACATTTAATTTTTTCTAAGCATTTTTCAAGTGAAGTAAGATGCATATATTAACCCATTTTAAAAATGAAGAAATCAGTGCTATTTAATGCATTTACCATGTTGTGCAGCTATCATCTCTCTTACCTTATTCCAAACCACTTTATCACTCCAACAGGATATCCCACACATTAAGCATTAAGCATTTGTTCCTTCCTCTCCCCCCAGCCCTGGCAATCGCCAGTTTGAACTGTCTTTTTTCCTTCTGGCATGGTGGTGGGTACTGGGAATTTAAACCCAGATGCAATTTACCACTGAAGTACATCTCCAGTCCTTTTTATTTTTTATTTTGACACAGGTCTCACTAAATTGCTTAGGGCCTCACTAAGTTGATGAGGTTGGCCTTGAACTTGCAGTCCTCCTGTCTCAGCATCCTGAGCGGCGGGGATAACAGGCATGTACCATTGTGACCAGTTGAACTCTGTCTTTAGAGATGATATATCTATTGTGAATATTTCATATAGATGGAATCATCTGATATATGACCTTTTGTGTCTGGCTTCTTTCAGTAATAATGTTTTTTGTTTATCCACATTTATTTATTCCTTAATATGATTAAATAATATTTAATTATATAAATATGTTTATTTTTATTTTCAAGGTGTAAATGGGTCAATTAATGGAAACAGTACCTCATCTGTGATTGGTGTCAACACATCTGTACTATCCACTACTGCTTCAAGTTCCATGGGACAGACTAAAAGTACAAGCTCAGGTGGAGGAAATCGAAAATGTAATCAGGAACAAAGCAAAAGCCAGCCTTTGGATTCTAGGGCTGACAAAATCAAAGATAAAGTAAGTTATTCTTTGAAAGGGGGGTGGGAAATAGACACACACACACACACACACACACACACACACGTGTGTGTGTGTGTATGTGTTTATGTGTGTATGTGTACATATATATGTGTTTGTGTGTAAAAATAAAATAAGAGGTCAGACCACCAGAATCTATGAATTACCAACTCTTATTTTTGCAGGTGTATATTTTTATGGCATAATAATAGTAGTATATATCTTGAAAATTAGAACTCTCTGCACCAGCATAAATAATACAAATAGTAATGGGTCATTATTATTATTATTATTTTTTGGTGCTGAGTGTTGAACTGAGAGCCTCATGTATTCTACACAGGTGCTCTGCCATTGAGCTCACATGCTAAAATTTATTTAGAATTTTCTATGTGCCAGCTCTGCTCTAACCAGTTTGTATATAATATCTAATTCTATTATACATGGTAAATTCACTTCAATGTTCTGATCACTCCAAGCTTCTGGATTCTCTTTTCCCCATCATGCCAGGAACACTCCAATATCTCAACTTCATGAACTGTAGGTCACCATTAAGTCTAGGTTTCATTTACCCAAGCTGAGATAATTCCAGCTATATATTCTAATATATAGCCTATATAATAGCCTATAATCTTTATAGGCTATTCATATCAGTGAATTTGGTCTGCTCTCATTTGTTATTACTTCTATTTTGGTACTAGGGATTGAACTCAGGAGTGCTTTATCACCGAGCTACAACCCAGCCCTTTTTCAAGACATGGTCTCACTCAGCTGCTGAGGCTGGCCTTGAACTTGGGATTCTCCTGCCTCAGTCTCCTGAGTTGCTGGATTTACAGGTGTACACCACCACACCCAGCCATCTGTAATTTCTTTTTTAATTGAGACATCATGGTTTATTCTGATTTAAATCTTTGGCATCAACTGTAAACATTTTGAAAACAAAGATAATAATTAGAGTTATCTTTTCTACATTTTATGAAAACTGCTTTCAGAGCTTTGAAAGCACTTTTCAGAGCCACTGGAAGGTGGAAGAATCAAAAGTCTGTGAATATATATTGTCTGTGCCATAACATCTAAGGTTTAGGAAGTTTCTGGTTCACCATAGCAAGAATAGCAAGATATGGGTTGCCATTGATTGCAGATGGCATTGTTCTGAACTTTAAATCTGAATAACATGACAACTAGGCTCCAATTTTTAATCCTAAGAAACTATTTTATGAATGGGCATGTAGTTCTATGATAACATGAATGGTTTACTAGCATTCATGAGGTCCTAGATCTAATCTCCAGTACCATGCAAAAACAAAACAAAAGTCCCCAAACAACAACAAAAACCCCAAAGATTTTTTTTCTTTTGCTGAACATATTTCATTGAGATACTTCCTCTAGATCTCACCAGAAAATATTTTCCTAAATATAGCACACCCACATGAGGGCTTAGAGGAAGGTCATCTGGAATCTCTCAAAAACATAATAGTACCCCATCACAAAAGCTCAAAGTGCTATACTTGTGCTCCAAAACAAACATTTTCTTTCCACCTTAAACCACACCACTTTCACTTGAGCAAACCTGATAAAGACTCTTGGTTGTTTCCTCCTAAGGACACATTTCGGGATCATACCTTTTGCTCTTCAAAACTACTCTTAGTTCTTCTTTTTGATTTGTTTTCAAATGTATTCTCATTAGGGTTAGCAGCAAGGGTCTAACTCAAAGCTGCTGCCACCTTCTCTTCATGTCAGACATTGACTGAAATGCCACTTATTCTTGATCCCCCATGCTATTTTGAAGCAACTCTCAGACAATATATCATTGGTCATAGTTTTATATGCATTTCTGAAAGTTAAGTGTCCATGCTTTTAAACTTTGAAGTAATCTACCTTTTAGAAAGTAGTATGAAAATCTAATAAGTATGAAGTCTAAAATGTCCCAGGCCTCCACAAGTTCAAGGCATTGCCAAGACTTAGAAGGCAATGAATATAAAAGTCCCTTTCTTAGTTCCAATGAGGAACATATATTAATGTTCCTAAGCTGCATTAGTGCTATTAAACTAAATACTCTTCCCAAGAAAACTAAATACTATTCCCAAGAGCACATATTAAAACTTAATAGGCCCCTCTTTAATAATATATAGAGAGAGATTCTGGGATACCATAATGATGTCCATATACAGCTAAGTAAAAGTAACATATGGAAAGATTGGCTGTTAAAGGGAGGCATCCTAGAACTTAAGATTTTACATAATCTTAAACACTTTTGGATAATATAAGGTGTGGCATAAATTTGTTGTTTAGATAAAATGGAGATGAAGAACATTGGAACAAAAGAAAAAACCTACCTAGTATTTTTCAGTATTAAAAACTTGATACAATTTGCTTCATTACTTCAATTGATGTATAGTTTAAAAAAAAATGTTCTTCAGCTAAATTTGATGCCCTAACTGGGGGATGGAGTATTTATCTCAGAGGTTGTTACTGAAAGTCACCGATTAAGTCCAGTTCCCTAATGTAGTCTGCATATGTTTTTAGAATAATGTGAGTGTTTTAAATTAAGTAATTAAATTCAGATTAAATTATGCAAACATATAGCCTGTTTAGAAATAAATAAAACAATCCAATATTAAAGAAGTTCTACTCTTACTCTATACCAATTATTGTCCCATGTAGCCAAAACAGTCTTTTAAAAATATAAGTGATTTTTTTTAATGCTTTAGAATATCATATATCAGTGAATATAAAATGGCATAGCTACTGTGGAAAATGATAAAATAGTTCTCAAAAAAAACACCTTAAAATTGGATTACCGTATTATCCATCAGTCCCAATTGGGGCTATATACCCCAAATAATTGAAAGTAGGGTCTCAAAGTGATATCTGTACATCGATGTTCATTATTTACAGTAGTTAAAAATGTATTATTATATTTATATGATGTACTTAGAATAGTTAAATCATAGAGACAGAAGTGGAATGATGATTGCCAGAGACTGGGAGAGATGGAGTGGTAGTATTTAGTTAGTATCAATTTCGGTTTTATAAGATGAAGTGTTCTAAAGATGGATGGTGCTGATGACTATACAACATTAAAAATGTTTTTTATTTAATACTACTGAACTTATACTTTAAAATAGTTAAGATTGCAAAGTTTTTTTGTTATGTTTTCTTTACTACAATAAGAAAAGGGAARAAATCATGTTATCACTTTAGTAGTGTCTATCCCATTTAGGATAAATGCTTTGCCATGATCTATAAGAGCTATATGATCTTGTAGCTCATTCTTCATTACCTCTTAGCACTCTTTCACTGGTTCACTATGCTTTAACCAATCTACCTGAATTTCCATTTTTGACCATGCCAAACATGTTTCCAGCTCATGGCTTTTTCTTTTGCTCTTTCTTCTATCTTGAAAATAATCTTCTCGTATGTCTGTATGATTTCTCTTATGTGCTTGCTTTCCCTTAGGGCTTAGCTCATAAAAGGTCTACCAGATGAATACATCGAAATCGTTACCCTACCCCCACCTCCTAGCACACATTGTCTATCTATTTCTACTGTTTTATTCATGGAATTTATCACTCAAAACATTTATGTTATTTGTTGATTCCTTTCTTCCTATCTCAGTAGACAGAGTTTATGCTCACACCTTGTATCTGCAGAGACTTTGGCAACTATGCCTGGTATATAGTAGCCTTGAATATGTTTATTTTGTTTTTGAAAGAAAAAAGTATACAGTGAAATCAAAGTTCAAGGAGAAGGTTTTGAGAAGCTGTTCCATATCCCATGAAAGGAAATTAATAATCTCTTCTTTGATCATTTTTTAATGAACCTAAGAAGATTTTTTTAAAAAATGTTTTAAGTGAGAGAAAAGAGAGATACTACCTAATTATGTGTGAATACAACAAACATACATACACACATACATGCTCACTCATACAGACTCAGAAAATTATATTGGTGATATCCAACCCATTTGTTCTTTTTTTATCTAATATGCATGCTTGTCTCCTCATTTCACCATTTTTTGGAGGGTATGACTCTTTGCATACCATCAAAGTATGCTTTGGATAGACCAACTGCATCAGAATCATATTCAATACTTGTGATCCCTGTGCCTTGTTTAGAAGTGGGACCCAGGAATCTGCTAATGTCAACACATTTTGCAAGAGAATCTGCATACCCTAAAACTGGGGAACCAACACCTCTGTACTCATACTTGGGAAATGTAGTCCCATTTCTCATGCCTTTTTTTCTTTTCTTTTTTGGTACTGGGAATTAGGGAAATAAACCCAGGGGAACTTCTCATGGAGCCACATTCCCAGTTCTTTTCATTTTTTACTTTGAGACAGAGTCTTGCTTTACTGAGGGTTTCACTAAGTTGCTGAGACTCGCCTTGAAATTGCCATCCTCCTGCCTCAGCCTACAAAATCACTGAAATGACAGGCATGTGCCACCATGCCAGACTTCTTGTTATCTTTAAATATAAAATTTTACACAGATTATTTAGACTTTAAAATGGTTGGTTTTTCTTTGCTAAATCACTGCAGCTTCTTCATTTCTTTCCTTTCCTACCCACTACCAAACCAAAAGTGATAACTTCAGTTTAGATTTCTTAGGATTTCCATAGACTCACTATATGTGCTTAGAAACCCACATCAGGCCCAGTGTGGTGGTACACAATTATAATCCTGGTGACTTGGGAAGCTGAGGCCGGAGAATTGAAAAGTTAAGGCCAGCCTCAGCAACTTAGCAAGTCTCTGTCTCAAAATAGAAAAAATATAAACAACTGGGGATGTCGCTTAGTGGTAGAGTATCTCTGGGTTTCATTCCCAGTACCACAAAAAAGAAAGAAAAAGAGAAAACCCACAACAGATTTTGGTTGCAACATAGGAGCTGTTTCTTTGCCAAATATGAAGTAGTAGTCTTAATATTAATTGTTATTATTTCCCTTAAATTTCTACCCTGTTTTATTTCTTGTGTGGAATACTTTATTTTTATTTTTTTGAACAAATTTTTAATTTGTGTGTGTGGTTTTTTTTTTTTTTGCATACACATGACAGTAGTGATTTCTACCTTCTTTATGATTATTCCCATATTATCCCATTTCAGTTTCTCATCCTTCTCTGCTTTATTCTGAGGGAGAAACCCCTCAAGTAATGATGGTGGTCATTACTGTGCATATTGAAGGGTATGTCTATAGACTTCTCCACAGACGTTAAGATCATCAGTTTGGAGCAGTTTACAGAGTGATTGCAAGCAAAATGTAAGAGTAAATCTCCTTGTTCATCTGCATTCTATTTCATTTAACCCAATCTTCAGAAGACACAAAGCAGAGTAGAAGTTTATAATCTGAAACCTTGGCTTCTTTTGTAGATTTGTATTACTGTCTTCGTTACCAAACCCCAGTAGTCATGAAGGGCTGTTTCTGTGAAGACCAAAACTTATAATATATTGCTGCTTTTCTGTATTTCCCTTCTTTTAAAAAATATTTTTATTAGTTGTTGATAGAACTTTGTTACTTAATTAATTAATTTATTTATATGTAGTGCTGAGAATTGAACCCATTGCCTCACACATGCCCAGGCAAGCATTCTACCACTGAGCCACAACCCCATCCTGGTATTTTATTTCTTTATCTTTCAGCAAATGCCATTGAAATGCTCTTAAGTAACTATAGATTGTACTTTTAATCTTGTATCATTTCAACATTTATCCTTTTTAGTCTTCCTATTAGTAGTTTTACCTTTCTGTTGTTATAAACCTAAGTTAGTTGTCATTCACTCATGATTTTTTCACCTTTTATTCACTACTATTGTCAGTTCTTTAAAGACAAAACTTTCCTTTTATGTGACCTGATATCCCTTTCTAACAGTTTTGAATTATTTTTTTACAATAGTCTTTGTGTATGTGTGTTTGTATCTTGGGGACTGATCCCAGCAATAGTCTAGTACTGAGCTACATCCATAGCCCTTTCTATCTTTTATTTAAGGTCTCACTGAATTGCTGAGGCTGGCCCTAAACTTGTGGTCCTCCTGYCCCAGATTCCCAAGTCACTAGGATTAGGACTATATGCCACCCCTTGAACATCCATAATCTTAAATATTCCAGAAATTAATCTTTTCATTTGCCATATTATTCTTTTCTGATATGGAATATAAACAAATTCTTTGATGCTAACAAAAGCAGCCCCATAAGTCTTTACAACCTATTTTATCTACTCTATAGCAGTTATTACTATATGGAATTCTTTTATTTTATATTAAATATCTGTTTATCCCTCATCCCCTACAACTAGAATGAAAGTTTCTCAAAGGCCAAGGGCTCTGTCTTACAGACATTTATATGTAGGTACCTAAAAAAGTGTTTGCACCAGGTGTAGTGGTGCATGCTTGTAATCCCAGTGAATCCAGAGGCTAAGGCAGGAGAATCACAAGTTCAAAGCTAGCCCCAGGAACTTAGTGAGGCCCTTTCTCTCTCAAAAAAAAAAAAATATATATATATATATTTTATATATATATATATAAATATATATTTTATATATAAAATATATATATTTTTTATATATATAAAATATATATTTATATTTTATATATATATAAAAATATATATATATATATATATATTTTTTTTTTTTTTAAAAAGGACTGGGAGGGCTGGGGTTGTGGCTCAGCAGTAGAGCTCTCGCCTAGCACGTTCAAGGCCCTGGGTTCCATCCTCAGCACCACATAAAAATAAATAAATGAAATAAAGGTATTGTGTCTGACTACAACTAAAAAATAAATTTTAAATCAATTAAAAATTTATATATGACAGTGGAATGCATTAGAATTCTTATTACACATATAAGGCACAATTTTCCATATCTCTGATTGTATACAAAGTATATTCACACCAATTCGTGTCTTTATACATGTACTTTGGATAATAATGCTCACCTACCCCACATTCAAGGCCCTACCCCACATAAAAATAAATAAATAAAGTAAAGGTATTGTGTCCAACTACAACTAAAAAATAAAATATTAAAAAGAAGGCAGGGGGCACTGGGAATTTGGCTCAGTAGTTTAGCACCCATGGGTTCAATCCCCATAACCAAAAAAAAAAAAAGGGTGTTTTGTATCTTATAKGAAGTAAAATAAAGCTAAATATATAACTTCAAATATAATTGGAGTAATGAATTTGTTTACTGCTCTTTTAATGTCATCATTTTGAAGCATAGCAGTCAAATGAGTAGATCTGTATATATACTATATTGATAACTTTCAATATTCTATATGTGACTGAGCTTATACTTTTTATTAGTGAGTTCCTGTCAGATAGTTATCAGCTAAACAATTACCCGTATAATATGTGACTTTTTCCTTTTTCCTAAAAGACATTTTCATATTGAAAATATCAATTGAAAATTAAAGAACATATCTTTTACTGAAACTTGAATTTTGTCAAAAATAGTTTTGCCGATTACCTTGTTTTTATCCAGAAACCAAGGAAGAAAACTATAGAAAGTTCTAGCAACAGCGATAGTGATTCGGGCACATCATCTGACACCTCAAGTGAAGGCATTAGTAGCAGTGACTCAGATGATCTAGAAGAAGATGAAGAGGAAGAAGATCAAAGTATTGAAGAAAGTGAAGATGATGATTCTGATTCAGAAAGTGAAGCACAACATAAAAGTAACAACCAGGTATGATTTGTTTCATGGACATATTMATATTTTGGAAATAACTCAATGTATCTTGACTCTCAAAGTCGATAGGTTTCGTTTTTACTCTTCTTTTTCTTTCAAAGTGTATAGTTCTAAAGTAATCACTTGTTTTTCCTGCTTTTACAATAAAAGAATAGGGGACAGAGACTATTTTTAAAGAAACATTTTTTTTATTTTTATTTTTTAGTAAAATAAAATAGAATAAAATAAAATGCTTTATTTATTTATTTTTATGTGGTGCTAAGGATTGAGCCCAGGACCTTGCACATGCTAGGCAAGTGCTCTTCTACTGAGCCACAGTAATAATAAATAAATAAACCCAGCCCTTGGTTTATTTATTTATTATTACTATTACTACTACTACTACTACTACTATTATAATTATCATTTTTTTTTTTTTGGAACTGGGAATTGAACTCAGGTGCACTTGACCACTGAGCCACATCCCAGCCCTAATTTGTATTTTATTTAGAGACAGGGTGTCACTGAGTTGCTTAGTGCCTCACCATTGCTGAGGCTGGCTTTGAACTTGGGATCCTCCTGTCTCAGCCTCCTGAGCCACTGGGATTACAAGTATGCGCCACTGCACCTGGCCCTTAGTTTATTTTTAATGAGGTTTATAGTGTATATCTGATGCCAAACGTAGTTAACTTGTTGACTACAGAAATGAAAAACAGTTCAGGTAACAGCAAGGTTTTTATTAGAGCTTCTGAAGCAGGGAGACATGGCACTGACAGGCAGTGACACATGGCAGTGTCAGGATGGCTCCTTGAACGAAGGGAGAAAGTTAAGGTTTATTCAGGCTAAAGGACTGTTTATAAGTTGGGGAGGGTGGTGGTGAGGTTTAGGAATTGGCTTTAGGTACATTACAAAGGTAAGTTTTTCTTTTCCTGTGAGGGCACTTTAACTCTGAAGAAAGTGTGGTCAACAGGATCCTGGAGCCAACATTATTTTTTCATATTAACACCTCATGCTATATAAATATCTCTACCTTGTAATAAAGATGAGTTGCTGTAGCTATTAAGAGAACACATAGCTGGACACAGTAGTACATGCCTGTTCAGGAGGCTGAGGTAGGAGGATTGTGAGTTCAGAGCCAGCCTCAGTAACACAGCAGGGTCCTAAGCAACTTATGGAGACCCTGTGTCAAAATAAAACATAAAAAGGGCTGGGGATGTGGCTCAGTGGTTAAGTGCCCCTAGGTTCAATCCCTGGTACATCCCCCACTCAAAAATTTTGTTTAAAAAGAGAACACATAGATGAAACATGAAAGAGTATACAGATCCTAGCAAATAATAAGTTAAGGGACCTGGGAATTTGCTGTTTTGGTGGCTTTTCAACAGCTTTTATTCTTTATGTTGTTTCTCCTGGGWGAGTTATGGCAGGAACATCCTGGCTTTAATGATTCACATAGTCTGTGAAGCTGATAAGGTWTTTTAAGGGGAATGGATAAGGCACACCCCAAGCTTTTGAAACTAAACAAGCTATAAGTGGAAAAAAAACCCTTATAGTATCTTTTTTTTGTAATTTGTTCTTTTTAGTTATACATGACAGTAGAGTCCATTTTGATGTAATTATACAAGGATGGAACGTATCTTATTCTAATTACAACCCCAGTCTTGTGGATGTAACACAGTGGTGAGATATGTCTTTTAATGGCTGTCAGGACATGAGTTAAGGCCCAGGAGTGCATTTGCCCTTTGTCGCTATAGTGGTTTCTGTCTGATATCTATCATAAGTTACTAGGAACAATTTTTAAAGTAAAATAAATTTCTCCAAGTTTTATTGCTTGATACTTTTAAAAAAAATATATTTATTTATTTTTTATTTCAATTTGTTAATATGCAAAATGCATTATATTTCACATTACACATATAGAACACAATTTTTCATATCTCTGGTTGTACACAAGGTATAGTCACACCATTCATGTCTTCATACATGTACTTAGGGTAATGATGTCCATCTGATTCCACCATCTCTTCTACCCCTATGCTCCTCCCTTAACCTCCCACCCCTTTGCCCTATCCAGAGTTCGTTGATACTCTTAATAGATGTTAATAAGTTGTCTTTTTAATTTTATTTCCAGGTGCTATTACATGGTATTTCAGACCCAAAAGCAGATGGACAGAAAGCAACTGAAAAAGCCCAGGAAAAAAGAATACACCAGCCATTACCTCTTGTGTCTGAATCCCAGACTCACTCATCATTCCAATCCCAGCAGAAGCAGCCTCAGGTTTTGTCACAGCAGCTTCCATTTATTTTCCAAAGCTCTCAGGCAAAGGAGGAATCTGTGAACAAACACACCAGTGTAATACAGTCTACGGGATTGGTGTCCAATGTGAAACCTTTATCTTTGGTAAATCAAGCCAAAAAGGAAACTTACATGAAACTTATAGTTCCTTCTCCTGATGTTCTTAAAGCAGGGAATAAAAATACCTCTGAAGAATCTAGTTCTTTGACCAGTGAATTGCGATCTAAACGGGTGAGTTAAAATGATTTTGACAAGATTATTAGAAAAATACAGAGATGCACTGGGAGTAGAGCTCAATGGTCGAGTATGCTTAGCATATGCAAAGCCCTGGGTTCAAGTGCCAGCACCAGAAAAGAGCTTTTATTATATACAATATACAAATTATATATAAATATTAAAATTTTTCATATGAAAATTTAAAAAGTCTCTCCTATTTTTGTATTTTCTGAGACTCTAGGAATAAAATACATACATCAGAAAATTTAATATTCTGATTTTAAGGTGGGAATATAGCTTAGTGGTGAGTATTTGCATATGCRGTATGATGAGGCCCTGGGTTCAATCCCCAGCACTACAAATTTTACCCCCTCTGGTTTTATATTCACATATACATGTATTTAAGATATTTTTTTGCCACATAATCATGTCATTCCACGGTCCCACACTCCATTATGTTTTAGCAGTAAGAGGATAAATATAGTGTTTAAAATTTTTTTTTTAGTTGTAGATGGACACAATAGTTTTTTTATTGATTTATTTTTATGTGGCATTGAGGATCAAACCTAGTGCCTCACATTTGGAAGGCAAACACTCTACTATTGAGCTACAACCCCAGATCAAGGATAAATATGTTTGAATGTGATGAGCTTTAGTTACTTTTGTTTAAGATAAATGTCCTTTTTAAAATATCAGTGTTATTTTTGAAAGACATGAATCCTTGAGTAATTTATCTCTGTAAATATAGAATTCATAAATTTCAATTGTAAAATTTCTTTATAAAGAATCGTTTCCTAAGACTGATGATGTAGACATACTCAGGAAGCTGGGGTAGAGCATTACTTAAGCCCTAGAGTTCAAGGCCAAGGTCARTCTGGGCAACAAAGAGAAAACCTGTCTCAAAAAATATTTTTTCTTAATGAATTATGTGATATGTAACTTATACTTATACCTAAGTCAGTCTTCAGTCTTCATTTTTATCTTTATTTTTTCCTTGCTATTGATTTTATGTTAATACATTCTTCTGTCCCATAGAATTCTAATAATTAAATGATGACTGCTTTATATTCTAGAATCAGCCCAGAATAGAAAAATATTGTTTGAACACAATATGCTGTCTCTTGGTTACAAATATTAATATTAAGCATCCTAATAATTAGATAAAACTTGTAGAATGCTTATTATTTGCCATCTAGTATTTTAAATGCTGAACATGCATTTACTCATTGGATAATAACATTCATGTATGCTACTATAACTGGACATCTCCAATATAGGCCTGAAAAGGAAAAGGCTAGGCTGTAATGCTTGCTACTCCAGAAATATGTGGATTCAAATAGGTAGGAAAATACGTATTATTCGAAACCAGCTTTGAAGGAAGATAGAAGAAACGTAATATTTCAAAAGTACACATACTTGGAATCTCTAAGTTAAGCAGAACTTTTAAAGCAGAAAAGGCAGTAAAGTGAGACAAAAGGCAGGTTTTGTTAGTCTGTAGTAGTCAGGCCTATRTAGAGTACAGTTCCATCTTAAGCTTTCTTGGTGCCTGTCAGAGTTTGGGTTGTAGCCCTTTACTTTCTGTTTTACTACTAATAATATCAGTGAAAGCAAATGAGAGAGAATATAAAAAGAAAAAGAAATGGAGACAGACCTCGATGGATTAGTGATGTTTTATTAAGCAGTAGAGGGGCACATTTTCAAGAGGGAAAATGGTAACAGGCTGCAACAACGGTCTGAGTTTTATAGGTTTTAGCAAGGCCAGGTCATGGGAGGAGTTGGTCAGTTAATTTGGGCAGTTATTTTTGGTGATCAGGGGGATTTGGGCAGATAAAGATATAGCAACAGGTCAGATTCCTGAGTTCCCTGTTTCCCTGAGGGTTTTGTAARTTTCCATTTCCTACATTCCAGACTCTAAAAGGGGTTTAGTTAGTTAGGGCAACATCATCATATCTGGCTACTTACTGCTGAGAAAGGGGCATCATCAGAATATCTTCTAGAGTCTGAAGGAAGAACATAGCTTTCACATGTTTTTGGATAGTGGTCCTGGAGATGCTGGAGACATATTCTGTTAGAAACCTCTGGATATGGTTAATGAAACATGGAAGAAGGAAAAGAAATAAGATAATCAGAAGAATGGGGTCATAATGGGCCAAATCCAGGCCAGGAGTCTGTCCTACTATCCAGGGGAGGAGGAGATGTTTGCTAGGTTAGGGGCTTGTTTCTTTAGCTTCCTTATCTTATCCTTTACTATTCCTGACTTATTAACACAGAAGCAACATTCATCCCCAAGGAAGAGGCAGAGGCCACCTCATCCTGCAGTAAGGAGATACAGGCCCCAACAATTTTGCAGAATGACAGAAGCCAGGGAATCCAATTGATTTTGTAAACTCAGTACGAAGTTGGCAACCTGTTAGATATCTTCAATAATCTGTACTGACAATTTTTTATAGTAGTAAATAGAGATTCTTAATTCTACTGCTCCTGTGCCAATCCTGGCAGGTACCTCAAGCCCTGTGAGTAAGGGAATAAACTGAAAGGGCTCTCTTATGAGTGGTTTGCACCGTTATCAGAATAGGCAAATTGGTTGTTAGCTAAAAACATCAATTTGAACAGTAAGGAAGACCAAAATACAGAGGCCAGTCCAATTTTTGTTAGGGAGGGGAAATATGAGCCTCACAAAGAAAAATGCCTCTGAACTTAGCGGGCAGGGTTGTAGGGCTGACACAAGTGTTATGTTTTAAGTTCTGTTAAAAGAACTATTGTCTTTTCTTTCAAATGTCCAGGTATTGCTATACTTTGGTTATAACTGTTTTGTTGGGTGTTTAAGATAGTCAAATTGATCTTGTTCCTATCTGTTGTTAAGAGTCAGCTGAGTTCCCTCAGGGTATCACTCTTGGGAACTTGAGAGCAGCCTCTTAGTTCTTTTTTTTGCTATTTGCCAGGATGGGTGAGGGTCTCCTTGACCATTTGGCTTCTCTTGGAAGCGTCAGGGAGGTCTCCTTCTCCAATGAACCCTCCTTTTTGCAGCATGCACACTGGTCAGTTTTCTTTTCTCCAGAATCTCATTACCTTGATTAGGAGGTCATGGGGCTCAGTGTCACAAAACCCTTAGAGAAGTCCCCTTGTTTCCTGGTTTCAAACTGGCTCAGAAAGGCAAGAACCAAATATTGACTATTTTATCTTTTTGGACCCTTTTATTTCTTTAACTTTAGGGTCTAAGCTTTGGTCTTAAATATCCAGCAGGCCAGTTTCATCTATCTTAAAGGAATAATACTGGGTTTTAACTGTGATGTCTATAACTTTTTAGTTATTCACCCCTTCTACTTATTTGGGGTCAGTATTAGTACTGGAAGTTAACCTTAAATCAACCTGTGTGTCCTATCAGTGATGGCCTATTATCTCAAATTAACTTAGACTGTTATATTAGAAGTTATACTTCTGTGAGGCACGAAAAGATAACAGTTAAGGTTTACAAGGAAAATACAAAATGAAATTAACAAGAGTAAAATATATTTAATTTGTACAATAGCTATGAACCAAGAAACTTAATTTTATTTTACCTTAAACTTTAGTTTGAAGTATACCAGCTTGGTAGAATGTTCTTATACTTTAACGACTTATATGCCTGGCAGGTAGGGCAAAAAGCCAGTAATAGTCCCATGCTTACACTGATGTTCTTATATTAACCCAGTTTAACTTCAAAGAAAATTTCAGAATCTTTAATGTAGTGTAATACTCTAAAATAACAGCTGTTGTTTAACCAGAGTTGTACAAACCCTAATTCCTTTAAGACTAGTTTCTGTTAAGAATAAACTTGACACCAGAAATAATTTTGATAGATAAGAGCAGATCAATGTTTTAAGAAATGTTTGTTACTTCAACTCATAGAGTATTAAACATTGGTTTATATCAGTATATTAATATTTGACCTTAGGGAAAAACCTGAAATAACTTTAACTGATTATGTTCCTTATATATGATCATTTGAGTTACTAAGACATTGTAAAATTTTTTACATTACCACTTTCTCATCCAGAAACATTTCTTTTTCCTTCCAATTTCATACTAAAACATATTTCCATACTTAGAGCCTTCTTATATCTCTTTTCTAACTGTTGATACCTTTTTAAATTTACATTCTGAAACAATCATTATGAAATTTCTGAATTTGTTCAATTACTTAGTTTAACAAGATGAAATACTTTATGCTAGTTGCAGTATTTTAATTGAAACCCAAGGGAAACTTTTGGGGATATTATACCTGTTAGAACTTTAACTCTTAATAATCTTGCTTTAATGAAGAACCAGAAACAAAGCAATCTTAAACTCTTTGTTTCATTACCAATTTATAAGTAATACATTTAATATTTAAACATATTACCTTATGGAATTTAAGAAGTCAAGCCTATTTGATTTCATATTTAGCAGTTGATGTTTTACCACATTGGCTTTGTAAATTGATCAGGTATCTCCTCTAACAAACACATTTATAATTAATCCCAGTGATGTTGAAGTTAAATCTAATTTACTCATTTTTAACTATAAAATCCAAKATATCAGACAAGTATAGTTAACAGTACTAGCTGTCTCTTCCTTGTTGAAGAAAAATCCTAAAAACAATTAATATTACATTCTAGACATTTTATAGAAACTGTTAATTGTCTGACAACCTAGAAAAACTTATGTTAGTAATTTTAAAGATATTTTTAATCTGTTTACCTAATTTAAATTGAACTTTTTAAATAATATGAACTAAAATTATTTGGATCCATTTCTCTTTTAAATTTTAATTTATGAGTACTCATTTATTTATATGCCAGTTCTGATATCATGTACATCACATATGGACAAAAGCACATATGTAGACCTAACAACACAATACACTGGTGTGCACACATACATAAAACAGACAGGAAACATGTTTCTTGTAGCTATTTGTAGGTAGATATGAAGCACACTACAGATGTTTATTAAATCCTCAATTAGATTTCAACTGTTAGAAATTAAAGCTTATC